ACATCCGTTGCTCGATTGTAGGGATCCTTGATGGACACCTAAAGAAATATCCCCTCGGAGACCCTCCAGAATCTCATTCATCCAATGCCAAGTAAGGTAGAAGCCGTCCTTCAGGTCAAAGGAAAATGTTCTGCAAAAAACGGTGACAGATATCTCACTTTAGAAGAGGTTCAAAGCATTTCGGGATACCCTTATTTATGAACCTCTCAGAAATTTGGCATATATCAAGTACGCGGTAGTCTGGACTGAATTCGCAGCAGTTATCAGTGTGAGGCTGAAGACTGCACCGCATCATACTGAAAAAAGACTTAACTCGCATGAACAGGTTGAGATTGCAAGAATTCAGAACTCCTGCTCTGTAGGAGTTTTCAGGTCAAGTAAACTGATCTGCCTTCGCAAAGCGTTCCGCTGTAAAGCCGAGTTAATGTTCTTTTATATTAAGCGATACGCGGTCAGATTTGGCTACGAGGGGTACTCAAAAAATTAGTTTGCCATTGCTGCTCTCAGCCCCAAAGTACTCGACACTCTACCTGCTCAGATAGGTGCTTAGTTTTTATGAGGTATCCTCATAGCGGACAGAGTGGCGTTTTTCTTATTAAGCCCCACTTCCTCATAATGCGCCTGACATTTTTTTGCTGACAAACCGTAGGGTTTACCCCGTCCAAAATGGTCTGTTTTATTTGAAATCAAAAGGAATCCTTCGAGTTGACATTTTTCCTCATGGCACGACAGTGAGCCCAAGTAACTTTCTAAAAAATGTTGAGGCCAGTGAGAAAAAAACCGACCTGAATTGTGGCGACTGGAGGATTGGTTTAGGCAAAACTTACTTATAGGGCCATCTAAATATATATATATTCCCCCCACTCAAATGCCTAACGTATTTTCTGGTCAAACATTTGATTCTTGGCTAGTGATTGTAAGTAAATATTTAATTGTGGTGGAAGAAGTTAAAAATATTAAATTAAGTAAGATTATGTTTCCTTTAATACGCTGAAATAGAATAAAATTCCATCAACATGAACTCCAAATGCGCAAGGTATGGAAGCCCATTGAGGGAAATTCCACCTTGTGTAGGCGGAATTTAACGAAAATAGAAATTTGACCTCCTATTGGTGGAATTTAACGAAAAAAGGGAAAGCCGGGCTTCTGAAAATTTAAAATTATTTTTTTATAATAAGTCGACGGGACCTAGGGCCTCTAAAGTCAGCTCTGTCCCTGTTCCTTCATAATTTCAAAGTTGCTATTCAAGTGGTGTTCGAAAGCAGCAAGTTTTGCGAACTGTGGCGTGAAAACGGTTTTTCCTTCACACCCTTGCTCGTCTGATGATTCTCTTCTTCGCACGAACGAAGAAAACCGAAAAAGGGAAGCTTTTGAAAAAAATAGAGATGGAGGTTAAGCAGAACCCACTGAAGACACATAACAGCAATATTTCAGAAGGAATTAAACAAACCTTTTTAGTGACAGGCTACTATAGGGTTCACCGCGGCGACCAAACCGCGAAAATTCCGTACTACCGTACTGGCGATAATAGGGGTGGGACAACACCACCCAAAGGATGAATTACCCGTTAGGACATGTTCAAATCATCTAGGGAACAGTATTTTGAGTGGTGTTAATTTTTTACAGATGTAACCTAAATAAAAATGTTAAATAAATAATTTTTTTTAGTCACGCCTCCTACACCAACTAGATACATATACAATTTTCGTATCTAGGAACTCTGCATTGATCGGATTTTCAGCGACGGAAGTAGGCTTTTTGGCTGGTTTCAATGAACAAATGGATCTGTGTCAGGCTAGCAAAGCAGCTTAGGCTAGCAAAGTATCTGCTATGCTGTGTCTGCTACGCTATTAGTTAGAACAATGTCAAGGTGGAATATTTGTGTTAATTGAATACGAACTCCTCCACCTTAAAGATCTAAACTTTTAAAAGAACGTTTTTAGTCAGTTTCATTTTAGCGCAATATTGATTTTTAAAAGATCAGCAGAAAAGCCTAGGTTCGTGTTGTGGCTGGTTTAGGAGACACCGAAAGCTAGAAATGATGTCCCAACCACTTTCTAGTCTTTGTTTGGCAGTGTTTCGATAACTTTTGAGCAGTGGACCTGGAGAAGTCTGTGAAGGGCCTACCACAATTATCTTCTTGTATTCAGTCTCCCCACAAGACCTACAAAAGCGTCCTTACGGTCTTTCCGAGCTACCAAGAACTCACTTTAGATTATTCTTTAGGTCGATGAATTACAGGAAAAATTGGAGCACCAGCACTGCTTTTTTCAATAACTTCTGGCATGCATCTAATGCCATCGACCTAGTGGTCCGCCTCATGTCTTCCGGTGAAAGTCCACTCGCTAAATCCTAACGGATGATGGTGAGTTTGCTAGCCTGTTTTATCGTCAGTTTGAGCCTCAGAATGGTCTGCAGCTATTTGTAAAATGACGACCAGAAAGATATCTGCATAGATTATTCACGGCTTCAACCAATAACAGTCAGTATTCCAACAAGAACAGGACTCAGACACGATTTTTTTTAATGACATGCACTTTCAGTGGTACTGAAATTGGACTGGGACCAATCAGAAGGAGGACGCAATGACGCGATTGTTAGTCTTGCTGTGCAGGTTTACGCTCTGGCAACCTGCTTCATTTAACAAGTCTAACTTCCCCGGTAAGTGAAGTCTGACAGGCTACAATTTGAAATTACTCACTTGTGCTAAGCGGGATACAGTTCACATTGTTACTCATACGCACAGCTGATATTGGTCAAGTCATTTTAAGTCTAAACAGACTTTCCTTGCGTTATGTGAAATGAAATAACTTTTTTTCAAATAAACAGTAATCTAATAATTTCGGAGATATTTATGCGGAGTAGATGGAGTGGACATTGACTTCATCAAAATACAAAAAGTTAAGTTAATTTACTTACCGAAACTATAAGAGCAACAATTTACCCGCAACATTTGAATTTTAATCTTATTTTTTTACAAATCTTATCTGTTAGAAAGACGCTAGTTTACATCCATCCGAGTTTGTTATCTTTTTTCCCTCTTGAAGTAAGGTAATTTATATTTCGGTAGGCATCTTTTCAGTACGCAAGGAATACAAATATTTCAAAAAGCTATGATATAGTGCATAACGATGAAGAAGGCGAAGTAGATGACTTCGAAAAAGGAGTTTGGAAAGAAAGAAGCTAAAGTCCACGATTGGCTCTGAAACACATCATCCGAGACAGCAAAAAATAAAGGTAGTGGGTGCTCTAAGAGGTTGCGGTATTTATAATATGCAGTGTGTAATTTGAATTTTAGTCAATAAAAACAATTGTACTTCAAATCACGGCAGAAGTTGCTACTTGGTCTGACGATTACATTGTTAATTGTAGCCGCGGACCACCTTTGCGATTTGTATGATAATGACTTGACAACTTGGCATACTACTACTGTCACCGGAGATATTTTTACTCGTTTCACTTCCCATTGGACTAATTAGTTCTACACGCAGGGCGCTAGTTTGCTATTTTTGATAGACTGCTGACCACAAAACCAAGACGTGCCGTTCACGCGAGGGATTCGTCCTCGTTGAACTTGAAGATGGGCTCAGGTCACAACGAGGCAGACGCCACTTAGACGTTGGCGGTCATTTCTCCGTACTGGTGCTGCTGCTGAATGTTCGGCTATCCGCGTCTAGG